ACTCCAACCTTTAATAAAATGAAAACAAAGGTTCAATTGAAAATTTGAATTGTGATCTTCGTAGCTGTAACACACGTCAAAGGCACACTTGACGACAGTACAATGTGTGCGATTTAAACACTCACCTATGCATCACAAGACATCAAGGTTTATCATTTAAATCATATTTAAAGGAATACATTCCCACTGCAGTTATCCCGTTGAATCGAGATGAATTTTCCTAAAGAGTAATTTGCTACGTTACCGTTAGTTTATTTTTGTAAATCGAAACGTCTCTGTGTCCTTGTGTTAATTTTTAACCGCTATTGTAAATCAAACCTTTCAACTTGGCTAGCCAAGGTATAACGCAAAGTTTCTTACCAGACGAAGTTTAATTCATACCGATATATCATGGCTCGGTGACACCCACTGTAACTATTATGACGATATCTTTCGTACTTAATTCATATCGATATACAATGACTCGGTGACACCCACTGTAAATATCATGACGATAACTTTCGTACTTAATTCATATCTATATACCGTGGCTTGGTGGCACCCACTGTAAATTTTATGACGATATGTTTCGTATCTAATTTATATCGATGAACCATAACTCGTCGGCACCCACTGTAAATGTTATGACGGTATCATGGCTCGGTGGCACCTACTGGAAATGTTATGATAACACCATTTGTACCCAATTCATATTGGCTCGGTGCTTTCACATGGATTGTTTTAATTACCCAATAAATTACATCGAATATCAAGTATTATATAATTGACAAGATAGTATACGAAACTGTGTCCAGTCGTCTGAATAAGAACATTTCCGCCGTTAATGCTGTGATATATGTCAGCAGAATGATTGGGTTCTATATCGTACGGTAAAATTATTGATTAGCCCCTGGGAGCATGAACTCGCTGTGACATTTGAAATTGTACTTCCAGCGAATTGATGTCATATCAGTATCAACATTGGTTATTTTATAAGCGGGTTGACATTTGGTCGAGTGCAGATTGTTGAATTATCTGTCTAAAATATCAGTTTCGTATACACACATACATACAAACAAATACATCAAACACACAGACGTAACATTATAACAAGATATTTGGTCTTCAGAAATGAAGGTGAACAGATCTTACTCTACTCGTGACAACCTGACAAAGTCATAGTAACTATGTTTAGTTGCAGTTTTTGGAGAGGAAGGGATTTGATATGTTGTCTTCTCTATTGTCTAGGGACTAGAATTAGTCAGACGTTTGTCTAGCGCCCCCTAGGCCATAATCGTAATCTGTCGAAGAGTAGCGTGACTTCCAGATTACTGCGCCGTCTTACGTTTAGAACGAAAAATATCAAGAAAATTAATGCTTGATATTTTGGGCATTCGACAGATGTTCACACTTGTGTGCTAGTGTATGTTTCGCTCTCTAATTGACTGATTGAACTCATAACATGCGATTAAAACAACGATTATTTTCATTGCCAGTAGTTGCTCTTTTAAGGGAAGCCTGAAGCGTATTCGTGGCTGCGCCGTGTTTGGTTGTTGTGTAGGCAATTATATAGACACGAAGCCTTATCTGACCAACAGTTGGTCTCCGGCGAACCACGCTCCAGTTGCCTCAGTCGTCTGATCTCACGTTGCTTTAGCTAAGAAAATCATGATATCGTAGGAAAACTGTCAATAAAATGATCTAATTAATGTTGTATTTTCCCGTCAATTTGTCTTTGCGGGTTACGATGGGAGTTTGACCACATACAACCAGAAAGAAATATAGATTTGACTTGAACGCCTTTTTTTTCGTGCACGCTAAACTTGTACAAAATCCTGACAGATTCGATAATAACAAATTATTTTGTATATAGTAATGTGTTTTTCGGTTCGGTTGCGTAAGTAACTAAGAGGTCTGTTTAAAAATACCGTCTAGTTTAACACAGCACAAAATGAAGCCATACGACTACACTAGCTACAAACTTAAATAAAGAAAAATGGCGGATTTGACGGCGTACACGTGGCATTGAAATGTGCAAATGATCTGATCTCTGAATTCATTGTGTGTATATTTGATCCATTGTGAGAGTCATTACAGTATATCAGTAACACGACATTTGAATGGGATTCTCACCTGTACATGTATTCAATTATTCTCTCTGTTACGTGATATAAGATGACATGTTACTAATATAGCACACACCTTAGAACGTACATTCTCCAACTCTCCAATTAACGTAACCATATATGTATATATACTACCTCGGAGGACGTACACACTGTGGTTTAAACATAGAAATCCTATTCGGAGAATCACACTTGAAGCCGTATTCGATATCTGATATATAAATGAAAACTGGGATTATTCTGCGGATAAAATATTTCCATACGAGAAAATATAATCACAGAAATCCAGCCATCGAAAATGTATTTTGTGAGTTCATTTCGATTGCAGAAATTGAATCATAGAAGACTACACATTGCCTAAATATAACTTAATGTACATACGCAGTAATACATTTTGAAATATATCTCTATTGATGTCAGTTTCACGCATAGTGTCATTGCATGCAATACTACAAATACTATACGAACTTCATGGATAATTACTACCATAGGTGCTTTTGATGGAGACCGAAATAGAGACTTCTGTTTCCATGCCTATAAATAAAAACAATTGCAAATCTTCTGTTATATAGTTGACAATCTCAACGTATCACTGTTAGTATAGATTAGAAATTCAACAGAAAGGTTACGACATGACTTAATTTGATGTTGGGACAAATGCGACATTTAAGTAACACTTTAATGCGTGGAAACTATAAATAGGAGTAAAACAAATTGATTTACCACATAGAACGTCACAAGGAAAAGCAACATAAACATAACGTTAACACAAAGTTTGAATGAAAATGTAATATTAAAAACAGAAAAATAAATTGCGACAAAATCTTATGGCTTGAAATAACCCCCAACATACGATATATTGTCACCATTTCAATAATTAAGGTAAAATACCAATATCTGAACCTTTTATGTAACTACTGTATAACCTACTCTTATGATAAATGAACAAATATTTAACTCAGACCAATTTCCGTTCAACACAAATTATTCGTCACCAACAGCTTGCTATCATACATCGTTAATATATTGTTCTAAATCGGTCTTGGAGCGGATGGTTCCTCCATAGAACCACGAGATTGCACCAGTGCTTTATGGGAAATGCAATCGGAGGGATTTTTTTTATTATATGCTTTGATCAACACCAAAAAAACAAACAAACAATGTTTGTAGTTCATGTTTTTTTAGTTCATTCAACAAAAACCCGGTTTTGTTTGTTTCGCCCATGGTCAACAGTAAAAACTGCAAGTGAAAGTAATATTCCGTGTACACAGGCCGTGAAACTTGACAATGACGTAATCATGCGGAGTACCACGCTATAGCATACTGAAAATAGGCGGCCATCTTACATCTTACCTTGTATACACCCGGAGCCGCTGTATAAATGAAGTAAAAAATGCAAATGTGCTTTCGAACGATTTATGAAAAATTCAAAGCTATAGTTACAACAACAAGTGTTACGTAAGCGGCGATTTAGGTTCGTTCGAAGTGTGTGTATGGAAACCTCCATCGGCGTGGGGAATGCCAAATTTCACGAGTTTACGCTACTATAAGCTTATCTGTAAACGCTTATAGTATTATATAAAATGATGATATGATACTTGGAGAATAAACAAAGAAGACACAACGGCGAATAATTATGAAGTAATTGGATACAGATACAAGGTGACACAGAAAGTCGCGAATAGTCTATTTGAACAAACATAACTGTATTCCTTATTTTTGTATATTTTTGTAGTTCTGTATTCATTTATTTATTTACTTCAGTAAATAATTTGCATAATTATATTGTTCTTTACAATCACTTAGACTTAGCAATCAGTGAAATATGCTGCGCAATTCACAGTACACATGATTACATAAGCTTTCAAATATGAAAACACGTTTTTTTTTATAATAAATTGCACTGAGCTTCAGCAATCTGTTCTTTTTTTCACCATATTTTCTTTGAGAGTCACATTGAAACTCCATCTAAATGGCGACGTATTTATCAGAAGTGAAGTGAAATATTGGTTTTATCGTCAACCTATATTCCAAAACGTTAATCAAAATGTACATTTGATCATTTGCACCAACCACGAGGAGGCACCATTCGTTATATGTAAACCGTGTATTTGAATAATCATAGTAGGCGTCAATATATAGGTTTAATGCAACAACAGGGCAGTAAATGTGTCAAGTATTATCACCATAAACATATGTCACTATCATAAACGACTGACATATAAATCATCAAATGTCAAAATCTGGTAAAAGTGGGGAATAACGGTGTGGGTGGCGGTAGGGGGCCGTGCTAGACTTGCTGTGTTGTTGTGTGAAATTTACATATATAGAACATATATTGAAACATATAAATATAAATTACATTAATCTACCCGTTTTGACAATTTATCACGGGATGCTGATGCATGCATATATATTTTGATGTTCTTTTACAAATGAGTCGGATATTTTGTAGCGCCCTCATGGGCATGGTCGTATCATGGAAAATGCGGACATACAGCTAGTTTGTATCGGTGTGGCTTGCTGTAGAGTTCTACTCACTATTCTCCGGCGTGTGCAACTGTTTGCCACAGTCTTGTAAACATTTATTCAACAGTTATTCGACGTGGTATTTCGTATGGTGTACACTGTAGCAGTGAGACTAACGCCACATAGTTCATGCGCAGTTTTCCAAAGCACGGATTGCAGCTGTTGAACCGAATAGACTTGACTGTGACTATTTTACCCGAATCAACTCGATAGCGCAAGCATTGAGAAATTCCTGTACATCCGACTAACTGCGCCACAACTACAGTAAGAGCTTTTATATACTCTTTCATTTACACTCCCGCAGATTGCTTGAGACTGGTACTGATCCAAATTTGTGTACGACACCAATGGAACTGAAATTAAATAATGTCACCGAATAACGAAGCTGACTGTGTGGCTTTAAATGAAAACTCTGTGGTCGGCGAAGGTAAGACTATTTTCCAGCATTATTCATCACATCAATTACATCTTTGTTCATTTATGAAACGGCAGTGTAGCTGCATAATAGCAATGCCATGTTCTATTACGTCCTGAATACATACAAACAGAATTAGACTTTAAGTGATTCTCCCACACAACGAGGATATTTAGGTTTACGGATACAATGAATTCCCATGGTGATCAAATATTACGTGACAGAGATTGTTATTATTTGAACTGTACATAGCAATTTGCGTGTATACTAATCACCACGATGAATATTGATATATATCTTTTTGTGTGCGTACATGGATCTCATTACTAATTGTTCAAACGTTACAACACAACAAAAAGATATAATTAGTCTGCAAGGATTTTCATTTATACGTTAATCGGTTGCCACAGTAGTTGATGCATATGTTTGCGTGGGCAATTATCTGTAACATATTTGACATTTAACCTTCTATATCTTATCTTTTTTTATAAGACAAATATTAATTACATACAACATATTCTCTGTATATTTTGAAACTACTGTTTCGTTGGATTATAATATTTAAAATGGTTCATTCGTCATAACCGTGGCACTTAATCGATAAGTCCCAATCCTGACCCATTTGTGAGAAGGATTTTTAAAAGCCATATAACTTTTTTATTATTATATAGATCATTTTATTTATTCATTATATACAAATTTTACGTTTCCAAATACAGCAGCCGAAAGATAATCCTTGTCATATGTTTTAACTTTGCAATTTATCAAAATTTTACCACCTTGGCAAAACACAAAAACAGAACAATAATACAATTTTCCAAATCATATTATATTAGGCTGCGATCTTGTTCAATGATTCATTTGTGAGAATATTTAACACACATGATCGACCCCAAATAAAATCATCTGGCATTGCGACTTTAATATATGTAATAGTATTAATAATGTACTCGACATAAAACGATTGCCACTTGATTAAAACGATCGTAGAATCGTAAATATAATCCGATATCGCAGTTGCGCCAGCTAGATTGGATGGATGCACGTGGTGATGATAATTAATTACCCTAAAAACCTGTGTATGAATATCATCATTTTGTGAGTGACCTAATGCCCGACGTGCCAAAGATAAATGATGTAATCTTCCGACATGTGCATACTGATGTAGATAATATACACAAGATGTTTTCAGTGAAATGCAGGATTACCATCTTATCTTCCAGAAAAAGATCGCTAATACATATATAATATACAGAGTGTTGTATATTGATTACCGGGAGAATCTTTTCTAATTCCACTTGGACAACATGCGGAAATTACTTGAAATGAACATCCATGAGATCTGAATGATAGTAAATGAGAATATTGTACGTACACATCCACGAACGACACTTCTCTTTGTTCAACTTCTAGTTCTCCTTAACTCGGCTGAAATATATTCATTTATTATAATCGAAAGTAATTAACGATACTATAGTAATCAGTGTTGGTTATGTAAGGCAATATAAAGGGCAACAAATTAAGTCATGTCTACTCAGCTGAAGAAGCGAAACTAATTATAGTGGATATATTGTATATAGGCCAACTAACTCATTATAAAGAGAGAAGTATAAATTGCCTAAATGCCTTTGTATTCTATAAAACAATGAGTTTAATATCGTGGATTAGCAAAACAGACAAACGAATTGACAATTATAAAGAGATTAAGCGCGTAAGATGAAATATCTCACATATAGTTCTTTGACTCAAGAAACAGCATACTTGCAATTACCTTATTGAGAGAACATGTTTTACGCATGAGATTTACAACGATCTACTCTGGATATAATGTTGCCCATCTCCAGGGAAAATTCAACTGATTGCCAAGTTGCAGCGTGTCATCACCACACGCATCATTGGCGAACAATTGACTAGAAGTGAGATAGATGAATCGTGATTGGGACTATGATGTTGTAGGATGGGAGAACGCCTGATTGATTGGCTCAAGGGATAATTTTAGATGTGACATAAACATTAATGATGACTGTTAATAGTTTATTGCATTTATTGTAAAGGTTGACTATCTATCCGGTCGCTTGCGCATAATAATTCCGACATATCAATTAGATGTATCTTATTTTCGACAAATACGTTTTATTACGTATGTGTCAGATATCTGCATACATAATCCAGAAGAGAAAGTTGCCTACGAATAAAGTGGTTCATTTTCTCATTCTCTGGAGGCCAAACCCTATTTTATTAGACTAAGTGCCCATGATAAATGTGTTCAAATGTAATGTGTGGACGAATAATTCATTTTACTTGCCAAATAGCCAATGTACCATGTTCGAGAATCCCTCATTTCAATTTTATAAACTTTTAAAAATATGACTTTTTATAGGTGTTAGATAATATCATTATATGCTGTGTTTTGAGAATTTCTCTTTTGGTTTAATATTACTTGTTCAAACTTTAGACACCCATCGGCTAATGGTTTTGTTTTGTTCAGCGGCCTTGCAAGTTTGATATTAAGATGTTTAACTCGTAAATTTACTATTGTTGGTCCATGTACAGGCTGTGACAGTCATCATCCCACATATACTCATAATAATGGCTTATTGAAATAAACGTAACTAAATGCCGTTCGTCCATGATCATTATCATGACCAGTACATTTGGTGTGTACATATTTTAGTTTAGAATCGCTCTGATCCTTCATTATTTAGGTAATACGATTATAATGTGCAATTTATTTAAATGTACCACTATGATACATGACGACACTATGCTTCTAGCTCTCTGTGGGAATCATGCACTACACGACTGCTAAGTGTCTTTTGATATCTAAAGACATGTTCACTGTACAAAGTGAAGGATGGGTCATCAATCACTATACTAACGCAACGGTATACAGTTTAGTGTAATAATCCGCATATAAACGTCAAAACTGGTGGTCTAGAATCAGTCCTCATTAGGAGAATATTTCTGCCTGACTTGTTTCTGCTGAAAAAATACGTGTTATTGACAAATGTTTTCATCACAAATTCTTTATATGTTAACTAATAAATCAAGGAGTTTGTCAAATAAAATAATTTGCTACCCATGTATATTGCTATGTCAACTAAGCTCCGACTGTCATGGTTAATCAAACCAAGGACAGAAAATAAAACCAGAAACAGTAAATAATCGCTGAATAATAAATAGTCGCTGAAAGGATGAATAATTTGAATGGTGAAATAACTGCATCCTAACCATGCATTGAATACCACCCAGTAACGCTGTGCCACATGAGAGTGTTCATTACAATATGTGGTGAATAGCATCGAATCATTTATGATAATGTTGTTCATTACATTCTGATAACAAGGAAATCATGAACATCACACGAATACGATAACTCAATCAAGGAAATAAATATACCACTTTTTTTATAATGCGTTTTAAAATTACACCTTCATCGCCGACCACAAACATTTATTAGCACGCCACAGAAAAGCAATCCTTCCCAATTTATTTTTTAGATTTCGACTTATCTATAAGGTGTGCTAGTGGGTGTACATTACATTTTAATTCGAAACTGAGAATCATAATTACATTGTTGATAATACATATATTGGCATATGAATGTAGCATCCCCAATGTCTCATTACGAATACTAACACCATCTGTGTTTACATTCGTGTGCTTCAATCCCCAATGTGCTATTATTTTCACTTCCAACGGGTGTGTTAACATACGTACAGAGAAGATTGGTATTGATATGAGTATTAGTGTATTCAACCTTCTGTATTCAGACATTATTATTTTATTTATAACATACTGCTAAACCACACAATGCACATTGAAAAACAGACATGAGAAACCCAACAAAATAGGTTACTGGATGCACATTGACCCGACCAATTGGTGTATTTAACTATTATTTTGCTGATCCTACGGAAAATGACAAATCATCAGTCATAGCAAGATGACTTCGAGAGGTGTGGCATTGTTTGCGAGTGTTTATTTTTTATAAATAGTCTTTACATGTATGTATTTCCAGTTGTGAATGCAAATATACTTAATTTTAGTATATTGACTGGAATAGGTATATAAAAACAACCAAAATATGTATTGCGTATGTGTATGTGAGGTGCGAAACAGTGTGGGGGAATGGAATCAAAACATTGTCTATACAAACAACTGTGAATATATCATTCTTTCGTACATTGATTGTTGACACTAATTCTGTCTCTCGTATGTGTGTGTATATGTGTAAATGTACTTTGTCAACACTGAGAGTAATCGATATTTAATACAAGTATAATTTCTTTCTCGTTGTTTTGAAATAGGATTATCAACATGTAAGTAAATTCCTAACTTTTTATTTCCTGTGTCACCCTTGAACTCATTAGTGCCTTGTCCAATTAGTTAATCAGGTTGAATCCGATTCCATGAGACTTCCGAAATCTATTTGCATTAGACTCTATTTCTTTACGTCACCGACCAAGCTTAACCAAATTATAGCCTGATATGCGGCAATGAAGGCAGGGTATGATGTTATCTGCTCCAACTGACATCTCGTTATCTGTGAGAATTGAATGTGTACACTCGCAGAATATTAAACATGTAACTATCATGCAAATTATTTGAATATCAAACGTAACCAACCACTCTTTGTTGTTATATTAAGAACAACTATTTTATTAACTTACATATCTTTCAAGAGATACATCAGAGTCTGCAATTATAATACTGTGGAAACACTATATTGAATATTAATATTTGATGATATTACTCTCTATATACACCTGATATGACGTGACCTCCGTTGAGTCGAAAATAACGTGTCTTCTTCCTTTGATTACTTTATCGTCATCAATAGTCAAGCCACCTAAACTGGAAACAAACCTGGCGGCGGCGTCCAATGACGTGACATATGCGTGACTGGCTTGTTCTACTCCTTCCGGATATTTTAACTTTGGAAGTAGATTGATTATAACTCCACGTCAGTCAGAGAGCAAAACAAAACACAACATTAATTAACATACATA